CCCACTACACATCAGCCCACATCAATGTTTTGGAGTGTCGCACAGCACTGAATATGATTCAACACCTTGCTCCCGTGCTACAGAATCAACACGTGTTGATTCACACAGACAACATGGTGACTGCTGCTTACATAACCATCAAGGGTGTGCGTTCAGCCCAGATGTTACACATTGCGCGAAAGCTACTGTGTTGGGCTCATCAAAACCTGCTCTCTATTAGAGCGGTTTTACATATCCGGTGTTCTGAACAGAGGGGCAGATGTGACGTCCAGGGGCGGCCCACGTCACGTGGACCGGACCCTCCATCCAGATCTGATGTTTTCAGACGTAGCAGAAGTTGGCAAAGCAGCTGTGGACCTGTTTGCAACGCGAGAAGAACGCTCAGTGTCAACTATGGTTTTCCCTGAGCCCGCGAGACGATCCATCGCTGGGGGGGGACGCATTTGCTCACAGCCCGTGGCCCAAAACGCTTTTATACGCGTTTCTTTTCCCCCACCTCCTCTGTTTTTTACGGTTCCTGAACCGAGTTCAGGAGGAGGGATTGACAGCTCTCCTGGTGGCTCCCGGCGTGTGAACGCACCATGGTTCCCAGGCCTGCAACGTCTGTTGTCGGGTCGCCGTGGAACTGTCGTGGAGGGAGGATGCTCTCCTTCAGGCAGGAGGAGCGACCAAGAGTTACCCAGAAATAGGTCAACACCTGTGGGTCTGACCGCTGAGCGGTCCCACTTAGAGGATGGGTCTCCCTCAGGAGATAGTGTGCACAATTCAAGATTCACGTGCTACATCTACCACAGTTCTGTACACATCAAAGGGGACGGCTTTTCAGCGCTGGTGTACAGAGAAGGTTTAGAGGCCACCTCATGCCTTTTAGGCGGCATGTTGTTTTTCTACAACAGCTGATGGATAGGGAGTTGGCTTTCAGTACGCTTTAACGTACGTTGCAGTCATCTATTCCTGCCACGAAGGTTTCGGAGACAGAACAGCTTTTAATCACCCGCTGATGAAGCGTTTTTCTAAAAGATGTTCAGAGACACAGGCCTGCTTCACGTCCACTTGCTCCACAGTGGGATTTAACGCTGGTCCTGCGAGCCCTGATCAAAGCTCCAATTGAGCCTCTGGATCAGGTTTTCACTTAAATTCTTGTCTCTTTAAACAGCCCTGCTGCTGGTTTTAACACCCGCTAAGAGGGTAAGTAATTATCTGCCCTCTCTGTTGCTTCGTCATGCCTTAGAATTTAGGCTGACGGGCAGCTCAGCTGATTTAAGACCAACCCAGCTTTTATGCCTAAAACATCACAAGCTCTTTTAAATCAAGAGTGATATCGTTGGAGGGGTCTTTTTCCCCCCTACAGATCAGAAGAGGAAGCATCTTTTCATCTTCTCTGCCCGGTGCGGGCGTTGACGTGTTACATAACGCGCACAGCTGCAATGCGTTTCAAACTCAACAATTGTTTGTGCATTATAGAGATGCTTCTGCAGGTCGCCGTTATCCATCCAGCGCTTGTCACACTGGCTGTGTGAGGCCTTTTCTGAAGCCTACAGAGCATCAGATTTAGAGTCTCCTGTCAACCTCTAAGCACACTCGACCAGGGGTATCGCATCTTCGACTGCTCTGCATAATGGTATGTCAATGCAGGACATTTGTACTGCGGCTGCATGGTCAACACCCTGCTCATTTATTCGCTTTTACCTACGTGATGTAACGGCTCGTTCCATGACACATTCTGTCCTTAGTGCTCTAACAGAATGAATATTGTTGTTCTCATGGAACTCTGTTTAAGCTCACTTCTGTCTGCATGCATTACAGTGTGAGATGTTGTTATCAGTCACAAGTCGTGTCTGTGATTTTGGTTCTATTGTCACTAATCAGTTCATGACTATTGTTACCAATCAGTTCATTTGATCAATAATCAATTCATGGACATTAATCTGGTTATACTGTTCAGCCATGAACCAGTTGGTTCATGCCCCCCCCCTCTTTTCAACTTCTTCTTCCCGTTGAAAGTTTTCCGGGGCATTCATGCTTTGTCAGAACGCATAGTTACTCAACATGCATCTGTGCATGGCACATAATTACGCGATGCGTAGTTATGCACACGGGGAGCTGAGTGACAAGACGTTTTTTGGGCAAGCTTCCGCTTCTTACTGTGTTCGAATGGACCCAGTGAGGCGAGGACCACATCGGCTTCGCCCTTTACCCACTAAAGCGAAGGCCTTAAAGGGCGAAGCTTATACGACATAGAACGTTGGTTACGTACTGTAACCCCAGATTCTATGAGTATAAGCGTAGCCCTTTAAGCGTCGGGCCTCACTGGCTCCTAAATGGCTGAAGAAAAAGCTATTTTGGGAGCCGATTTCCCGCTCTTAACGTAATTTATACGGACCGGGTGGGGCCCACACAGCAGGTGGGCGTGGACTAATTTTTTCAGTGCTTATGCTCTGCATAACGGGATAAACCACTAAAGCGAAGGCCTTAAAGGGCTACGCTTATACTCATAGAATCTGGGGTTACAGTACGTAACCAACGTTTCTGCGTCTCAGCGCCACCAGCTGGTGAGAGGTGGTGACGTCAATTTGAACCCCGTCCACTGGAACCGGTACTGAAAGCATAATGGAAACACAACCTGTACCGTACCGAGTAGAGTAGAGCCGTGCTGTACCGGCCCGTACCGGTACCAATGGAAAAGGGGCATTAGAGAGGTCAAGGTTGAGAGCTTCAGATCTTTTTTGCAAGATATTCCAGGAAACCGGAGCTGAGTAGGAGAAGGTCCTTTTGTGGCTGTGGCTGAGTGGTTAGAGCAGTCGTCCTCCAATACGAGAGTTGGGGGTTCGAATCCACATGCTGAAGTGTCACTGGGCAAGACACTGAACCCCTCATAGCCTCTGATGTGTGTCCCATCAGTGTATGAATGTGATCTAAAGCACTGATTAGTCTCTTTAGAATGATTTGTTCAATTAGCTTTGTAGAGATCTAGTAGAGTGCTGTATGAATGGGTAAATGAGGACACAGATTGTAGTGTAAAGCGCTTTGAATATCTTGAAATAAGATGGAAAGGCGTTATATAAGTACAGTCCATTTACCATTTACCTAGTTCAGTCCACAATGAGGGAACACTGCATGTAACAATGTCCTGAGAGCATACGCTGTAGCTGCACTCATGCAGCGACATGTAGGAGGAGATGTATGAAGGCAACAGACCAAGAAGTAGGAATGTGCGATATAAACGGTACACGGTAGAAATGATAGAAATTTAGCCTACAATAGAGATCTGT